GGTCGGATTTGGTGGATGTTTTTGGGGATATTTTGGGCTATTTTAGGGGTTTTTGGTATTTTTCTCACCACGGTGAGGTTATTATTCAGCGGCTGGAATGCACAGCACAGCAGCGGCGCCCCGTCAGGATCAGCCACTCTGCGGATGCAGCGGCCGTCCGAGGGGTCCCAGAGGCGCAGGGTGGCGTCCAGCGATGCCGACACCAGGACGTCGTTGGACAGGGACCAGGCGAAGTCGGAGACGCCGGCGCCGTGGCCCCGCAGGCGCCGCAGCACGGCCGGGGGCCCGGGGGCCAAGCAGCAAACGGAGAGAGTCCCGTCCAGGGAGCAGCAGGCCAGGAGGTGCCGCTCGTCGTGGGCAAACTGCACCTTGCGCACTGCCGAGGGAGAGAGTGGAATCAGACTGGAATCAATGTGAAATCATAGCAAAAATCAGTGTGAAATCATAGCAAAAATCAGTGTGAAATCATAGCAAAAATCAGTGTGAAATCATAACAAAAACCAGTGTGAAATCATAGCAAAAATCAGCCTGGAATCACCCTGAAATAACAGCAAAAATCAGCCTGAAATTAGTCAAATCATAGCAAAAATCAGCCCAAAATCAGCCCAAAATCAGCCCAAAATCACCCTGAAATCATAGTAAAAGTCAACCTGAAATCATAGCAAAAATCAGTCTAGAATCAGTGTGAAACCATAGCAAAAATCAGTGTGAAATCATAACAAAAAACAGCCTGAAATCATAGCAAAAATCTGCCTGAAATCATAGCAAAAATCAGCCTGAAATCAACCTGAAATCATAGCAAAAATCAGTCTGACATCAGCCTAAAATCAGCATGAAATCAGCCTGAAATCATAGCAAAAATCACCCTGAAATCAGCCCTGAATTAGCCTGAAATCAGTCTGGAATCAGTCTGGAATCATAGCAAAAATCAGCCTGAAATCATAACAAAAAACAGCCTGAAATCAGCCTGAAATCATAGCAAAAGTCAGTCTGAAATCAGCCCCGAATCAGGCTGAAATCAACCTGAAATCAACATGAAATCAGCCAGAAATCAGTCTGAAATCAGTCTGGAATCAGCCTGAGATCGTCCTGAAATCATAGAAAAAAATCAGCCTGAAATCAGCCTGGAATCAACCTGAAATCAACCTGAAATCAGCCAGAAATCATCCTGAACTCGCCTCAAAAATCAGCCTGAAATCAGCCCCTAATCAACCTGAAATCAACATGAAATCAGTCTCTGAAATCAGCCCAAAACCACCACAATCACTCCAAAATCACCCCAAAACCCACTCTGAAATCACCCTGAAATCCCTCCAAAATCACCCTGAAATCACCACAATCACCCTGAAATCACCCCAAAATCATCCCAAAATTGCCACAATTCAAAATCACCCCAAAACCCACCCTGAAATCACAATCACCCTGAAATCACCCCAAAATCATCCCCAAATCACCCCCAAACCCATTCTGAAATCACCCTGAAATCACCACAATCACTCCAAAATCACCCCAAAAGCCACCCTAAAATCACCACAATCCCCCTGAAATCACCCCAAAATCATCCCAAAATCACCACAATCACTCCAAAATCACCCCCAAACCCACTCTGAAATCACCCTGAAATCACCACAATCACCCTGAAATCACCCCAAAATCACCCTGAAATCACCCCCAAAACCACCCTAAAATCACCCTAAAATCACCACATTCACCCTAAAATCACCACAATTCCCCTGAAATCCCCCCGAAATCATCCCAGAATCACCACAATCACTCCAAACTCACCCCCAAACCTACTCTGAAGTCACTCTGAAATCACTCCAAAATCATCCTGAAATCACCACAATCACCCTGAAATCATCCCCAAAATCACCAAAATCACCCTGAAATCACCCCCAAAACCACCCTAAAATCACCCTAAAATCACCACATTCACCCTGAAATCCCCCCGAAATCATCCCAGAATCACCACAATCACTGTAAAATCACCCTGAAATCACCCCCAAAGCCACACTGAAATCACGCTGAAATCACCATCACCCTGAAATCACCCCAAAATCATCCCAAAATCACCACAATCACCGCAAAATCACCCCAAAACCCATTCTGAAATCACCCTGAAATCACTCCAAAAACCACCCTGAAATCACCCTAAAATCACCACAATCACCCTGAAATCATCCTGAAATCACAACAATCATTCCAAAATCACCCCCAAAACCACCCTGAAATCACTCCAAAATCACCCTGAAATCACCCCAAAATCACAATTCAATATCATCCCAAAAACACCCTGAAATCACCCTAAAATCACCACAATCACCCTGAAATCACCCCAAAATCATCCCAAAATCACCACAATCACTCCAAAATCACCCTAAAATCACCCTGAAATCACTCCAAAATCACGCAGAAATTGCCACAATCACCCCAAAATCCCCCCAAATCCCCCCAAAATCCCCGGCCGTGCGGTACCGGCGCTGTCGAGGTGTTGGTCGAACACGTGGAACACCCCGGCGAAGGCGTAGTTCTCGCTCAGGGTGGTGTCCCCGGCCATGGCCCGGCTGGCCTCGGCCAGGGGGGTGGGGACCACGCCGGGGGGGCTGCGGGGGAGGGGCGGATCGATTGGGATCGATCGGGATCGATTGGGATCGATTGGAACCCCCCCAGGATCGATTGGTATCTCCCAATCCCCCCCTCCTCCCCCCC